CACCTATGAATGTGGCCTACTATGTGACTATTTCTCTTTAAAAATGACTTAAAGCACACATAATAGTTGACACATGATGAGTAGCTATTCACTAATTAGATTTCTGTCTTGAATAGTGATACTTAGGAGAGGTAAGTGTGGAGTCATCTGGATATATACATAAATCCCAGACCGATGAGACACATGACATCACAAGCAAAGGCTTGAAGGTATGAAAGAAAACACACAAAAAGGGGGTAGCACTACAGGTGATCAAAGGTTAGCATAGGCGCTCCTTCTACCATGGAAACTATCTTGGAGAGATAGAGATATTGCCCACTTGACTGCACCCTATCTGATAATCTCATTACTATTATCTTATAACTAGATGATGCATTAGTTTCAAACGCTAATTGCTCCCTCAGAGCCATCATTGAGTCCAAAATAGGGCTTAAGTGGGGTCTGAAAAAACTTCCAAGGAAGCAATCCAGGGAGAGTACGTGCAGGTCTTGATGGTGCAAACCCTATGAGACTCGATTCTTTATAGAAGGAGACCTGACACGCCTTTAGCTGGAGCACTCTGTGCTCTGCCGAGAAGCAGTAACTGTCAGGTCTCATAACCACACTGGAAAACTTGACTGTGCTCTCAGGTAGATGGTGAGAGCGTCCACACTGCAGCTCTTATATGACAATGAGCTCCAGCTCCACACAGAGGGTCCTTCCTGGTCCTTGCAGACTTCTTTTTCCTAGAAAGGCCTTCTTATAGCATCATCCAGTGTCAAGATGTCTGATCATAGGCCTCGGACAGCCTTTGCTGATCTGGAACTGATGATCCAGATTGAACAGAAATTTGCACGGCTCAGAGATAGTGCTCATGTGGCTAGAAGTAGGAACAAGAAGGCCGTGGTCAGCAGCATTTCCCCTCCATAATGCCACTGTTTCTCTCTTTGCCATCTTGGGTTTTGCTCAGTTCTAGGGCGATAGGTGAGTTACTCATTTTGGCGTGGCCATTCTATTTAGATATGTGTTGAAGTGGCACCTGCCACAGGTTATGATTGGAATCCGCATGGTGAATGTGTCTCTTTAACTTCCAAGTTCCCACATTGGGGTTGATATTCAGGTATAGTGTCAAAGGTAAGACATAAGCCCGTTGTGTGATTTTAAAAACTAAATTAGATGTTAACTGGATGTGCTCTAATGTCAAGCCTGGAAATGACCAGGAAGAAGTCAAATGGGATCCCTTTCCTACCTTAGTATGAAATGATGATACCAACCCATCTAGAAGGGTATCCTTGCCTAACGATGGGACAGGCTGTCCTTAAAAAGACAGGCAAACAGAAGGCAGTGTTCCTGGTGGTGAAGGGCGTGGACAATAGCATGAAAAAGATTTGTCTTAGCTGTGCCATGACCTTCTTTGTCATTGTAGGCAACTTGCTTTTTGTAGGTTTTGTTTCCTGATTGGTAGATGGCAATAGTAGTCATAGTTTCTTCTTACAGGTTTATTTTTAAAACCTGTCATATTTTTAAAGTGTTAAGCCCAGTCCGTGGTACACAGCAAATAGTCATTAAATAACATACAAATCATTGCATGCACCTATGTAGCATAAGTATTGGTATTGGTATTGGTATTGGTATTGGTTTTGGTATTGGTATTCGTATTCGTATTCGTATTCGTATTGGTATGTGTTATCAGAGGAGGAGATCTCCATGCTGCCAGACCCTATGTCCTGCTCTTGACTTGCTGCATCTTCCTCAGTAGAGCTGTTCTTTGACCTTCTACCTATGGTCCCAGTATTTCTTTCTTCATCACAGGAACATGAATTCGGTGCCTTCCTTGCTGCTACTATTTCTTTTACATAGCATCTCAAATTTTCCTCAAATGCTCTTAGAAAATGTTAAAAGGACTAGAAAAACCAGAGCAGCATCTCCTGATATATTTGGAAATATTAAATCTCCCAGTTCCGGGGAGGATATAATCTGGAAATGATATGATCTAAGGTTATTCAATAGTGTTGTTTAATAAGGCACCTATTTGCAAATAATTATACACTACCAACATTAAAGAAAAGCACATAAAGAAATTTTAAGATAAAAGAAAGGAAATCTTTTCATTTGGATTTTTTTTTTTTTTTGCCAAGTATTTTCACAGACATTTTAGACACTTTATTATTGTGCTAGGGTATTTTTGTTGTTTTATGATCATTATGATTTTTATTTTATAGGTAATAGAACTATGTCTCTAAAAACATTGTATGACTTATTTAAAGGAGTACAGCTAATAAGTGGCAAAACCAGGGTTTAAATGAAGTGTTCTGATTTCTAATGCCATTTCTTTTCCTGATATTTTTCAGCGGGTATTAAAGAGTACGAGTTTGTTGCTCAGAGATATTGTGACAGTTCCAAATAGAAATATGCCTGAAGGGAGTAAATCCATGAATTAAAGAACTGTAAAAAGGTTTCCCGCTTCACAAGAGAATGTTCTGAATATACTTTAACTCCTGGCCTTGTCATCCAAGACAGCCACCAGACTCCACACACACATTCCTTCCAGGGGTTGGATAGACTGTGGCTCTATCATAAGCATGTCTTACTAACTCGAAGTTTTATACAGACATTGCCATTCCTAGCGGGGCTGGGTTCTGCTTGTTAAAAACACAGCCAAAGCTCTCCTCAGCAAGCAGCTTGGTAATATGCTATTGGTGTTCAGACTTTGGTGTCTCGAGTCCCTTTCAAAGGCCTGACCTGAGCCATGAGGAATGCCTCAGTGGTGACCGAGTTCATCCTGCTGGGCATCCCACACACAGAGGATCTGGAGACCGTGCTCTTTGTCCTGTTTTTGACCTTCTACGTCTTCACTCTTGTGGGAAACCTGCTCATCCTGCTGGCCATTGCCTCCTCCGCTCGACTGCACACCCCCATGTATTTCTTCTTGTGTGAGCTGTCTGTGTGTGACATATTTTTCCCTTCTGTGAGCTCCCCCAAGATGCTCTTCTACCTCTCAGGGTACAGCCGAGCCATCTCCTATGCCGGGTGCGTGTCCCAGCTCTTCTTTTACCATTTCCTGGGCTGCACCGAGTGCTTCCTGTACACGGTGATGGCCTATGACCGCTTCGTGGCCATCTGTCACCCTCTACGCTACCAGGTGATCATGAGCCCCAGGGTGTGTGCCATCCTGGCCTCGGGGACCTCGTTTTTTGGCTGTGTTCAGGCCACCTTTCTAAGCACTCTCACCTTCCAGTTACCCTACTGTGGCCCCAATGAGGTGGACTACTTCTTCTGTGACATCCCCGTGATGCTGAAGCTGGCTTGTGCGGACACCGCAGCCCTGGAGATGGTGGGGTTCATCAGTGTGGGCCTCATGCCCCTCAGCTGCTTTCTTCTCATCCTCGCCTCCTACAGCCGCATTGTCTACTCCATCCTGCAGATCCGCTCCGCTGAGGGCCAACAGCGAGCCTTCTCCACCTGCAGCGCCCACCTCACTGCCATCCTACTTTCCTTCATGCCAGTGGTCCTCATCTACTTAAGACCAACACCAGATCCCTGGCTGGATGCAACGGTTCAGGTTCTGAATAACCTGGTCACCCCTATGCTGAACCCCTTGATCTACAGCCTCAGGAACAAGGAGGTAAAATCATCTCTGAGGAAAGTCCTGCATCAACTGGGCTTTCTTCCTGAGCACTTGTAGTGAAAGAACAGTAGCCAACAATTGAAGTACAATTACAAGTTATAAACTATTTTAATATGCTTCTCACAAATATCTCTTTAAATGGGAGAGTCCAGATATTAGGATTTGCCTCCATTGTACAATATGGGCACTAGGATTCAAAGAGTTCAAGTGGGTTGAACGTGAAGCATATGTAAGGACTGATGGCAGAATGACTTCTACCTCTTGGCTGGCTTTCTGAGTCTGGGGCCTGTGCTTTCTCCAGGACATCATATTGCTGATGAGGTGGAAAGGAGCCTGCCACAGCAGGCAGAATAACCTGCACCTTCTGCTTCTCAAGCTTTATTTTCTTTGTCCACCTGCACCCTTTTGTCCTCTTCTTTGTCCTCCTCACCCTGACACTCTATCCTGGCTGCGTTATTGTCTCCTCAAATGCCTGAACTGAATAAACCCTCATTGTATTGGTCTACACATTGTTGTAAAAAAATGGAGTTGTGGAAAGAGAATGACTTGTAGCAGGGGCCTGAGGCAAGTTTCTTCTGAGTGAAGCAAAGGCACTGGTGGCCTGCTGTCACCCAGAAACTCTATGTGTTGGGTTTTGACCTGGAAGCAGGCCCTGGCTGTATCAAGTTTATTTACATGTAGAGGTGCAGCATGGCAATGAGAATGTGGGAAGGGCAGGTGGGGAAATTCGTGGGATGGTGACTGTGATCTGATGCCACATTAGAAAATCCGGACTTGGCTTTGCATTTCTCAGTCCAACCAGGGGGCCATTCTGGGTTCAAGCGGTCATTGTTTGTGTCTGGTTTCCGTTTCAGTGAAAAGGTGTGACATTGTTCCCCATTCCTTCATCTCTCTCTCTCTCTCTCTCTCTCTCTCTCTCTCTCTCTCTCTCTCTCTCTCTCTTTTGCCTGAAATACGCTAAGAAGAACAATAATGCGCTGTTCCAATGCAGTGCGCTATTGTGTTTATGACTGGAATTCATTGAGAATCCTAGCACACTTGAGGCATGTGGAATAAACTATTGCAATTTATTCTCATAGTGAAGTTGAGAGGGAAGGAAACTGAGAAGAGGATGATGGGAAAGGAAGGGACAGGGGTGGAGACCAGTTTGTCTGTCCTTCTCAGCATCAGAGAGCAACCCAGGAATCTGCCAGGCCTACCAGCACTGCTGTACCTGTGCCTCCAACCAGTGTGGGGAGCCAGCACATGCTCCTGCAGGGGAGACAGACTCCCTCCTGCCCCTTGTCTTACATGCCTCCAAGCCTTCTCAGCCTGATTCTCCTTGTTTCTCAGGAAACAAGAGCTTGGAGAAGGAGGTGGCAATGCATCTCTAGTTATTTCACATGTCGTGGGTCCCTGCTGGAGCCTAAGTCCACCTGAAGATCTCCTCCCATTCCTTAATTTCCTGGTGGGAGCTGCTCAGATGGTCCAAATAGAACAGTTTTTTAAGAATAAAAGATGCGATCCAGTTCCTTTTCATTTTCACTCAGACAGAGGTCATTTGGTGAGAAACTTTGTGCTATGGGTCGGGAATGCAAAGATGAAGAAGAGGTGATCCTAGCAGAGTGAGTCATAGTCTGCCTGAGAAAAGACACAAATGTGCAGCTGACATCCCATGATAAAGATGTGATATATGGCAGGGAATATGGAATATTTTTTTCTGGGCTGTGGAGGGACCTCACAAAAGAGGTGTTGAGGGTTAAATGCTTTTGTTTGTTCTGTCTTCCCCCCACATACATACCCCATATAGAATGGCTTTTATAGGGAGAAATGTTTTATAGGGAGAAGCATCTCAATATTTTTTTTGTTGGGTTTGTGGGAATGAGACATAATTCCTTGAGTGGGTATCTCAACTATTTACCATCTGTGAGTGAACATTCTTGTAAGAATAATAAAATTAATTTCACCTGGCTCTGGCTGGTTTGGCTCTGTGGATAGAGTATCAGCCTGAGGACTAAAGGTCCTAGGTTTGACTCAGGTCAAGGACACAGGCCTGGGTTGTGTTCTTGATTCCAGCAGGGGGCACGTGTAGGAGGCAACCAATCTCTCTCATCATTGATGTTTCTATCTCTCTCTAATCCCTTCCTCCCTGAAATCAATAAAAATAAATTAAAAAAATTTTTTTAAAGTGTTCATAAAGTTTTTGGATTTTAATGGCTACCATTGTAACCACTATGGTCATATACTGGTACATGATCTATTGTTAATAAGGTTTAATTGAATTATCATCATGAAATTAAATTATCCTCTTGTTATGTTAGGTCAGTGTCATTGAAAACTTTTACAGTATAGATGAAATTATAAAATTTCAGAATTAGTAAGAATTTTAAACATATTTATTTAAAGTGAGAATATCCTTAATTACATACCAGAAGGATGATTCTCTCTACACCTTCCAAGAGCTAGCTACCTCACAAGGTTGCTTACTTCACTGATGTACATGTAGATGTGCATCTAATAATTAAATATTTTCTATCTACATTGAAAATCAATGTGTTACTACCAGGTCTTCCCACAGTTCCTGAGTCTCCACATAGAATAGTGCTTTTCCAGTTTCCGCCAGCCCTTCAGGCATTTGGAGACCATACTCTATCTCTGCTGCTCTTTGACTGCAAACCCAAATCCCTGGGAATTGATAAGATATTGCCTAAAAACAATATGACTTTGAAAATAAAGCGCCAGTCAGTTTCTAGTTATGTCATATGAAGTTATTTATTCTGTTTCTCAGATTTTTTGTAGAATAATACCACCTACGTTATAAAGTTTATTTTGGAGGTTCAATGTAACAACTACTTTTAAAATTTAGCATAATACTTAGCACATGATAAGTGCTGATCAATAAATAATTAATGGAATATGGGCTATTTTGTCCATAATTTTCCTTTTGAGATCATTTACACCCCCTTTCACCTATGAATGTGCCTAGTATGTGACTATTTCTCTTTAAAAATGACTTAAAGCACACATAATAGTTGACACATGATGAGTAGCTATTCACTAATTAGATTTCTGTCTTGAATAGTGATACTTAGGAGAGGTAAGTGTGGAGTCATCTGGATATATACATAATTCCCAGACCGATGAGACACATGACATCACAACCAAAGGCTTGAAGGTATGAAAGAAAACACACAAAAAGGGGGTAGCTCTACAGGTGATCAAATGTTAGCACTGGTGCTCCTACCATGCAAACTATCTTGGAGAGATAGAGATATTGCCCACTTGACTGCACGCTTTCTGATGATCTCATTACTATTACAACTAGATGATGCATTAGTTTCAAACGCTAATTGCTCCCTCAGAGCCATCATTGAGTCCAAAATAGGGCTTAAGTGGGGTCTGAAAAAACTTCCAAGGAAGCAATCCAGGGAGAGTACGTGCAGGTCTTGATGGTGCAAACCCTATGAGACTCGATTCTTTATAGAAGGAGACCTGACACGCCTTTAGCTGGAGCACTCTGTGCTCTGCCGAGAAGCAGTAACTGTCAGGTCTCATAACCACACTGGAAAACTTGACTGTGCTCTCAGGTAGATGGTGAGAGCGTCCACACTGCAGCTCTTATATGACAATGAGCTCCAGCTCCACACAGAGGGTCCTTCCTGGTCCTTGCAGACTTCTTTTTCCTAGAAAGGCCTTCTTATAGCATCATCCAGTGTCAAGATGTCTGATCATAGGCCTCGGACAGCCTTTGCTGATCTGGAACTGATGATCCAGATTGAACAGAAATTTGCACGGCTCAGAGATAGTGCTCATGTGGCTAGAAGTAGGAACAAGAAGGCCGTGGTCAGCAGCATTTCCCCTCCATAATGCCACTGTTTCTCTCTTTTTTCCATCTTGGGTTTTGCTCAGTTCTAGGGCGATAGGTGAGTTACTCATTTTGGCGTGGCCATTCTATTTAGATATGTGTTGAAGTGGCACCTGCCACAGGTTATGATTGGAATCCGCATGGTGAATGTGTCTCTTTAACTTCCAAGTTCCCACATTGGGGTTGATATTCAGGTATAGTGTCAAAGGTAAGACATAAGCCCGTTGTGTGATTTTAAAAACTAAATTAGATGTTAACTGGCTGTGCTCTAATGTCAAGCCTGGAAATGACCAGGAAGAAGTCAAATGGGATCCCTTTCCTACCTAAGTATGAAATGACGATGCCAACCCATCTAGAAGGGTATCCTTGCCTAACGATGGGACAGGCTGTCCTTAAAAAGACAGGCAAACAGAAGGCAGTGTTCCTGGTGGTGAAGGGCGTGGACAATAGCATGAAAAAGATTTGTCTTAGCTGTGCCATGAGCTTGCTTTGTCATTGTAGGCAACTTGCTTTTTGTAGGTTTTGTTTCCTGATTGGTAGATGGCAATAGTAGTCATAGTTTCTTCTTACAGGTTTATTTTTAAAACCTGTCATATTTTTAAAGTGTTAATCCCAGTCCTTGGTACACAGCAAATAGTCATTAAATAACATACAAATCATTGCATGCACCTATGTAGCATAAGTATTGGTATTGGCATTGGTATTGGTATTGGTATTGGTATTCGTATTGGTATTCGTATTCGTATTCGTATTCGTATTGGTATGTGTTATCAGAGGAGGAGATCTCCATGCTGCCAGACCCTATGTCCTGCTCTTGACTTGCTGCATCTTCCTCAGTAGAGCTGTTCTTTGACCTTCTACCTATGGTCCCAGTATTTCTTTCTTCATCACAGGAACATGAATTCGGTGCCTTCCTTGCTGCTACTATTTCTTTTACATAGCATCTCAAATTTGCCTCAAATGCTCTTAGAAAATGTTAAAAGGACCAGAAAAACCAGAGCAGCATCTCCTGATAGATTTGGAAATATTAAATCTCCCAGTTCCGGGGAGGATATAATCTGGAAATGATATGATCTAAGGTTATTCAATAGTGTTGTTTAATAAGGCACCTATTTGCAAATAATTATACACTACCAACATTAAAGAAAAGCACGTAAAGAAATAAATTTTAAGGTAAAAGAAAGGAAATCTTTTCATTTGGATTTTTTTTTTT